TGGTGCGGTGCGCGGTGCGCACTGCGCGGCAAACTGACACAGAGGGAGGGGAAACTCACAGGGGCACTGGGCCATTCACGAGCGTCACCCAGCGGCATGGCCCCGCCCCTTTTTCTCCTCCATTTCGGGCAAATTTTTCACTGACTCGAGTATAAGCCGAGGCGGCTTTTTTCAGCTCAAAAAAGTGGGCTGAAAAACTAGGCTTATACTTGAGTATATACAGTATTTAATGAATTTTACAGTATGTCATATTATATTATTATAATATTTATTCAAAATATTAGTGACACATTATTTACTTCTAGTATGTATTTCTCCAAACCATAAACCTTTTAAGGGAAGAGTGGAATTCTAGTCCAGTTCTTACAGTATATTCTTAAAGCAAGGCTAGGCATAGCTCACTTCAGAGATAAAACCAATGGTCAGACTTCTACAGATCAGCGTTCTCTAATTCTCATTTTTTAGATGTGTGTGGAATATGACTTCTAAAAGTCTTTCCAGAAATTTTAGAATTCTGGGAGCTACAATAAGCTCACATCAGGAAGGTGCCAAATTAGGTAAGGCTGCTCTAAGTCACAAGAGAGACTAACATGGTTTGGTGTCCAGGAGCTACAACTAAGATTGTTTGTGATGGAGAAAGCTCCATCACAAGCTCCATCTGGAGAAAGTTAAGCAGAATAATGATACAACATGAATGCATATGGGTAGAATTAGGGGCTAATTATAAGAGGCTTATTTTAGGATGTAGATTATAATATTATATATTTTTTGTTTTAAAATAATGACTTATAAAATACAAGAGACATTGGATTTTGGGGCCACATATAGCAGTGGATTTCAGTGCCAACTTCTGGACCAGAAAATAAATGACGATTCTACTTTATCCTAGACTTTGATTCTGAAACTTTCCAGATTTATCAACCACAACTCACAGTTGCCAGAAAGCTCTTGTCACAAGTGTGTGCCATAGCAGATAGTGGCAACCAAAGTCTGGATCTGGGCCACTTCAACAAAGTAGATTTTATTGTTGTCATTCCTCGTTCAGAGGTCCTCGTTCAACAAACCATCCAGCGGATTCGACAATCAGGTAAATAACCAAAAAGCTTATTAAATCCAGCAGAAACTTATTTTCCGGCGAAGGGGAGATAGAAGAGCTATATAGGAGACTGTTCATTGAAAGTCCTATTAGAACTTTTTATTATGATTTATAATTTCATAGGCCTCTCATCTGAAGCAATTTCAGTAAAGCTTGAATAAAACATCTCTTTCTGAATCATATGAAGAAAACAGAGCACCTTCTGAAGCAGTTGGATGAGCATTGCAAAAAGCACAGCTGTTCTTATTGTTTAGAAAGAGATGCTTTGCTTACATTGCACTGTGAAGCAATTTTCTAAAGCTTTACAAAGTGGTAGCACAAAGTGTTAGTGCAAATAGCTACACGGCTTTTTAACACAGAAGATTTCATAGATGAAAAAATAGTCTCTGAAGCTGTTGAATGGCCTCTTTGGGATAAGAGGCTGTAAGAAAAGCAAAACTTAGTTCTCATTTGTTCACAAAGATTTTTCTTATTCTTTTCTAGGTGATTAGAGTGAGTAAATATGCCACAATATGCCACAATTACAATATTTTGGTCTTGTAACAATGGTTGCACATTTTGTTCTGACCCAGCCTTAGCAGAAGCAAGAAACAGACTCCTTGTCACACAAAAAAACCCTCTTTATTTACTCTTGTAGATTAATTGCATTCAGCCACCAAAAAGACCAGGCAATAGTCCTTCAAGTAGTTAACTGCAGTAACAGACCTTATCAGTTCCTTTTGATAATTGCAAGGCCGTGAGCTCCCAGCAGAAAGGTTGCAAATTAAGTTCTGGCAAGCAGTCTTTCTGGCACAAAACACAATGAGCAAAATCTTCAGAAATACGAACTGTCTCCTATGACAACTACTCCCCTTTCCTTCTATTTATTTCCCAGGGAGCATCCATGTGTGCTTTACTTCCTGAGTCAACTCCTTGTCCTTTGTTGCTCATCTCTCCTAATTGCTCTGTGTATATCTGCATCTGGAACAGGCCCCAGCTGTTCCTTCTCCTCACTCATATCAGCCTCCAAAGGCAGCTGGCTCTCCGGTAGCTGGGAAATATTGAATGGCCTGGTTCTATCACTGCACCCAATGCAGATAATTCATCAGAGCCTTCTCCAGATTCCAGAACTGGCCCAAGTTCCTCCCAACCTCCTCATCGTCAGAGTCTGCCACCAGCTTCACTGGCAGCTGGTGGGCCATGACACATTTGTATATGATACTATCCATACAGATATAGCATGGATTTTATAGGCATAAACAGATCGATAATTTAAATACCTTTTACCTAAATACCTAAACTCTTGTTTCTTCTTCTAGGTGTTCTTGTAGATTTAGGGCTTGAAGAAAGTGGAGCAGCTTACCAAAGAGCAGAAAAATATGTTGTGCAGCTTGACAATGAGGTCCAAACCAAATTTGATAGCTTCATGAGACGAGTAAAACAGAACCCATATACTCTTTTTGTGCTTGTGCATGACAATGCTCATGTGGATCTAACAAGGTAAGGCATTGAAGTAAAGCCAGATAAGTTTGAAAATGAAACCATAGACTTCAGATTATAAACCAATAGTGAGGGCATGCTTCTCAGATTGCTTATAATCAGTTATGTCACACTAAATGCCTTAGGTCATTGAACTATATCAAACCTGTTTTAAAGATGTCTTGGGGTGTTTTTTTTTAATTTATTCAGAAGGAGGCAGTTACAACTGTAATTATTGATTTGGTTTTGTTACCAGAATGAGGAGTTATGTGTAAATTGGTTCTCTGTTGTTCTAAATGTGTGGAAATATTTTATATGAAATAAGGGTAACTTTCATTGGTACCAATATTTAAGCAAGAACAGTGCTACAGGTTTCACAGAAGTGACCTTTTGGTTTTATACGACAGGGGTGGGTAAAACTATGGATCATGCTTCTTTTTGAACTGAGTGGATCTTGTCGTTTCTGTTTTAATCTTTTTATTTTTGTATACTAGACATTTTATGTTTTGACTCTCTTCCCAGTGCTATCTCAAGCTCTCTGTCTCATGGAGAGCCTTGTCAAGGACTTGCTGATAGAGTGATAAACTGCAGAGAAGTCCTTGAAGCTTTCAATCTCCTTGTCCTCCAAGTGAGTTCTTTCCCATATGCTCTTCAGACTCTCCAATCCCGAATCAACTCAGCGAACGAGGTGCACTGGATACAGTTTGGCAATATGGTAAGAGTCTAAAGGTTACAAATAAAATACTTAGGTAATGTTAAAGTTTTCTTAATAGCATGTGCACTGATAATAAAGAGGGGGATTGCTTTGTTAGTTAATTTTGATTGTTTATTATCAAAATCTGGTTCTATTGAAGGAGGGAGTGGTTTCATAAGGTAGTCATCTTCTATAGTACTCTGTTTACTAACCAGCCAGATTATCAATGCCTTTATTTACCTTTGATGTCCTAGAAATTATTTAATCCCACCTTTATTTTCAGGAATTTAAATTTTGCCTTTCAGTGATGAATTTGATTTCTGGATTGAATTACACAAGAAAAGAAATAAAATACTGATTAAAATTTTCAACTAATAGTATTTTAAAAGAATAACTCACTTCAAAATGTAGCAATGTAGAAAAAGCTAGGAATATTTTTTAAGGCTTTGGCCACAGAGGGATCCTCACTTCAAAATCCCTTTTTACCATTTGCCTTAATTTTGAAGCTAGGGGATACCTGGGGTGGGTGGGGGGAAATGACAGGCATAAATTACATCATATGAGAAAAATGATGTCAAACTCATGGCATCAAGTTGCTGTCATATGTCGTATCACAACTTTTTCCCCTTTGTGGAGCTGGGGTGGGTGTGGCCTGCACATGACACATCCGGTTTGTGGGCCACCAGTTTGACACCCCTAATATAGAGGAAGATAATCTACAATTTATTGTATCTAAATTCTAAGAAATGAAAACTTGTAAAACTATAGTACTTAAATTGGACTTGTAAGCCAATAAAATGCAGGGTAAGTATAATCTGATCTGAGCTTTGTTTGAAATGTATCAAACAGGAGGAAATAACCCAAGATGAGAAATTGTACTTTGGCTTGAATGAATACAGCAAGTCTCTGCAGTGGGGAATCACAAGCCCTCTTCTGAGATGTGATGACATTTTTGAAAAAATGGTGAATACACTCTTAGAGAGGTAAATGCTTTGGTTATAGTACTAAGTTGGAGCTGTATGTTTCGGAACTCAGAAAGTCTCTTTTATTTAATAAATTCAACATGTAAATAGGGAAACAGTAAGAATGCTAATACTAATATCGTTCATATTGAAATTTTTCTGGTATAAATCTGAGGATGGCTGTTAGCAGTTGTCTTTAAATTACATTGTGAGTGATCCTATCTTTTAAAACATGATCCGCCTTAAAAGAATAATGCCAATAAGAGCCAAGGTGGCGCAGTGGTTAAATGCAGCACTGCAGGCTACTGCTAGATCAGCAGGTCAGCGGTTCAAATCTCACCGGCTCAGGG